CACTAATTACTTTCCCCCCTCTGTCTAAGCTCATGTAATTTAACTTGGGTAAGTCATATTTGTGTGTCTCCCATTGAAATGTTTGGTCCTGTCTGGAAGCAGCTGTTTATTCACCTCCGAAATTGCTGCATTTTGGCTGCTGCTGGAGGGAGCTGCAAGTCAAACCCGAGGCTGGTGGCACATTACAAAGTGCTTTGTAACACTTTGGCTGAGAGGAAGCAGGATGACCTGTGCTGTTTCTTTTTAGCACCGCTTAAGCTGTAAAAGCAGCCAACCAGCTCTCTTCCAAATGTTGGCTGCTGAGATTGACTGCACTCATGAAGATAACAGGGGAAAGTATTTTTCTCTTAAGTCCACAGCTGTCCTAAATCAGCCGGGGATCCTGGAGGGCCGAGGAATGCTCAGCATCCCAGCCAGGGACATAAAGACACCAGGCAAAATGTCACTTGAAGTGTTGCTTCTTCTTCAGCAGTAACTCTGCTCCATAAATGCAATTGATCTCCTGAGAGAGGAGGGATTTCTTCAGCAAATGCAAGCTTTGTGAGGAAAAATATACGAGCTGTTGGGCTGGTGTTCCTTCTGTGTCTGCTCCAGATCCAGGGCCTGGGAGTGCCACAGCAGCCAGGGGATCTGGGGATTGCTGAGTGTGGGTTACACACTCCACACGGTGCTGCAGGGCTGAATTAAAGTTGTGTCCAGATTTAAAATCACTTCAAGCAGTTATTGCAATGTAAACTGAGCAGTGAGGGTTTGTTTTTTGATTTCATTCAGGTTTTTTAGTACAATATTTTCGTGGTTGTAAGATCTGGGCTGGATCACAGCTTTAAACCAACATGAATAGGAAATTTTGGCTCAAGAAGGTTTAGGCCTTGCCCTGGCTGGGCTGAGGAGCAGCTGGAGCATCCTCAGCTCCAAGGACTATTTTGCAGGATGGGCTGGGGGATGAGCATGTAATGGTAGGAGTTTTACAAGTGTCTAAAAACAGAAGCTTATAATGAAAGTGCTTCCTCAGCCATAACTATAGCGTGCTGGCATAATTGGAATGCTGAGTGGTGTGCTGGGTTTAGGAAGGTAATAAGAACTGCAATCAGTATTAAATAAAATGTATCTTCCTTTAGGGGAAATAAATGTATATTAAATCAAATATTCATGAATCCAAGTTAGTCTTCATACATTACACAAACAGTTTTTAAAAAATGCTGCTATCCTGAAGGCTGGGTGTGATGTGTGTGAAGGAGAGGGATTAGCTTGGAGCTGGGGAGAGAGAAAGGGCCTGGCCTGTCACCACCTGAAGGAACAAAGCCCTCTGGGCTCCAGTGAGGTCTTGCCTGAACAGCACATTTGAGAAAGTGGTTTAAATCGTGCAGAAGTGTTAAAAGAAGCAAAACTGCCTCTTTACAATATTTATCATCTCCAGCAAAACCTGGACATCCACCTGAGTGGACATCCAGGAATGGAAACCTAGAAGGGGAGTGGGTTTCAGTTCACAGATATTTCAGTAAATGCTGATTCCCTGCCAAGGGCAGGACTGAGAGTATTCACTTGCCTGTCCTCAGGGTGGCTTTTAGCTCCTGTGAACTTGTGTTTTCCTGCCTGCCTTAACACAGAGGGGAGGAGAACATCCTGCAGGAGAGGCACAGCCTTCCCTTTCCAGCCAGGCTGAGGATCTGTCCTGCTGCCAGCACCCTGGGATGAGGGAAAAACGTGAAAGACTGCAGCTTGGCAGCAGCACAGAGTGTGGATAGCACACACGTGTGAGCTCAGACTCCATGGGCTGGGACAGCTTCCTGCTTCTCACCTGGAGGGATCCTTGGTGCCAACAGGGGCTGCTGTCCTGCTCAGCTCTCAGAAAGGTGTTTCTTGTCGGTCACAAGAGGGCTCAAAGCTTCACAGCCTCGGTCCTGGTTTCAGCACAGTGTGGTGCCAATTTGGCTAAAAGTGTGGGGCACAAGGGGGTTTGGTTTCATGCCTCTCAAGTCAGGCTGTGCTGTTAGCTAACACCTCTGTGTTTAGGAGCCAGGGTAGTAAAAGTTCAGGCTGGTAAGAGCAGGGACAAATCTGTAGGTGTTTCCAGGAGAGAGTTTGTTAGTTTAATCAAATTGGACTCGTCTGGAGTTTGTGTCAGCAGAATTCTTCCGTGCAGTTTATGAAATGTCAGTGCTTTTATCCAACAGCTACAATCAATTTGCTGTTTGATAAAATAAGCAAACACCTCCAGGCTGCATCCTTATCCCTGCCTGTATAAACAGAGGGGCAGGGAGACACGGGCATGGATTCTGTTCCCTTCCTGGGGCGAGCAGGGTTTCGTTGCTGAAGGCTTCCAAAAGAGCGGCACACAGCTGTGGAGAGAGGGCTAATTTGTGTCATTTGCTGAAACCACTGGGCTCTTCTTCCCTGCTTGGGGAATTATTGATTTTATCACTCTCCGACCTTACACGTGTCACTGTCTTGTGCATGCTGGCCTGTAGGAAGTGCTGTCTACTGATTCACAGCTGAGGAATAATTCTGTTTTATTTGTGATTACTCTTTTATTTTTGGCTCATCAGCCATGCGCACTTGTTCTTTCTGCCAGGCTTAAATCCTCAGGAAAAATGTACCAAATAATCCAAAATACCCAAACAAAGCCTCCCCCTTCCCTACCACCCTGCACACTTTTATTCATCTCTGCACATGTTGCTCTGTAAAGACTCATCACTGTCCCATTGATTTCATTGTCTGGGTGTCTTTAACAGTTTTCTTGGATCTCTGTAAGTCGGGGAGAGCGGAATATGATTGCAGATATCAATATATGAGCGTGTAACCCTGCTGAAGTGCTGTCAGGCTGGCTGAAGTGCATGGGGGGGTTGCTGTGTTATTGTGCTGCTTCCCTGCCAAAAATCCCAGTCCCTGCTTGCAGAAGTGGAGGGGGGATAAGCAGAGATGCTGTTAGGGAGGAGGGTTGGTCGTAGGGAGGAAATATATGGAGCATCTACTAGAGCTTGCATGGTACATTAATTGTCTGTAGCTTTTTCCTTTCCTTCTCAAAGCAAAATTAATTACGGGGAGGTGATGTTCCTTTAATGAACATCATTTAATTTAAAAAACGGACAAGTATACTATCATTAGGTCTCTTACTTAATGTAGTGTGTTTTCTTAAGCTAAATCTGGTTGTTGTGGCACGGTGGAGGTGAAGAGAGTCCCCTTCCTCCGGGATCCGAGAGCGGCTCTCGGCTGCTGAGCGTCGCACAAACACCGAGCCCAATCTCTGCTTGCCTGTGGGGGACACTGCTTGACCGCTTATTGCATATTTCATCAGCTGATTTCTGCATGCCACAGCCTCCCCGGGGTGTCAGGGTGACACTGGGGTTCAGATTAATTGGCAGGGCAAGCAAGGGGAGGCAGGGATGTTCTGTGCTCCCAGTCTGAAATGATTCCCCCCTTCCTCTTAAAGGTGCCCTTTATGGGAGAGGCTGAGCCTGACAAGAGCTCAGTGATAACTCACCAGGGTGGGCTTGGGTTTGCCCAGCACTGGTGAAAATCAGCTCATCTACAAACCACCTTCACTTCTCTTCCACTGCCCCCTTCAACAGCTGAGCCACACAAACACAGATCAGGTAATCCAGGCTGGAGGGACACCGAGCTCCACCCTGGCACAGCCACCCTGCAGTTCCCCCTTCAGCAAAGGGCACAGAAGTGAAGGGCTTCAAAAATAAGAGTAACAAGATTGAGAAGTCCAGATTTTAATTAAATATACAAGTGGTGTGTTGGTTATTTGAGGGGAGTGGCAGCTGCTCTGGTTTCGGGTGTTCTGTTGTGCCACATCGAATCATGGCTCTAAGAGGTTAATCTCAAAATTAAATAGGTGGGACCTCTTAATGCTTATTAATAAAATGGTCAAAATTAGGGATATTTTTTCCTATAAGGAAAGTGGCATAAGGGTTTTTTTGAGGTTTTTTTTCTCTAATTGTTTCAGCTTTTAAAGATTGGATATGGTGTTTCTGGTCTGATTTGTGGCTATCAGTACTTATATGAAGTGTCATTCTTGATATGTGTGTTATCTCCATTTTCAAACACAGGCTTTTTATGAAAAACTAGAACTGAAACTGCAGTGGATGAAATAGGAGCTATTCCACGTCAGTTTTCAGAAAAGAAAATCAAAATCCCCCTGTATGGAGTCACTGTTGGAGGTTTTTGGCACTACTTGGAGGCCAAGGAGGAGGATCTCAAACCCGTTTTTAGTGTTTCTGTCGGGGCTCCAGAGTCTTTGCCAGCCCATTCTCACTTGCTGTGGTGGAGTTTGGATCAGGCAGTTGTTGCTGTGCTGCCAAACCAAGCATCCTGATTTTTAGCTTTTTTGTTTCCCTTTGGCCTCAAGTTTGGCTGTTTGCAAATGAGCTGTTGGTGACACCTCAGTGACTGTGTTTGACTGATTTTTTTTTTTCCCCCTGAAGATTTTTTGGGGGTTAACCAACATATGTGGGTACAGAAATACCTGCTCTTATTCCCTACAATATCCACTTGCTGTGTGTTATTTGCTCCCACCGTTGAGGGGTTATTGCATTTGTCATCTCCTTTGCCATGTGGGGCGAAAGGCAGCGTTTGTTAATATACAGGAGAGCTGGCACTTCCACGTCTGGGAAATGATGTACTTTGGGAAGTCACCTGAGGTGAAAAGTGCCACGGGAGGGTAAAATGTTATGTGCCTGAAACAATGGCCGTGAGCAATGATCATCTGCAGCGCTCACCTCCGCAGGGCCGAGGTTCTGCCACCCAATCTCCCGTGCTCAGATTAACTCAGGAGCATTAAACACGTGCCCTGTGCTGGCTGCTTCCCCGTTATCTGCTCTCTGTGTTCTGAGCACAGAAATGCTTGCTTCTCTATACTAAAATGGGATTTTTTTTTTTTTAACCTAGAGAAAAGTGTATTCCATTGTTATTACCTTCATTCCCAAGCTGTGTTTATACTCAGATAACTGCCAGCCTAGTTTCCAGCAATAGCTGCCGATAGAAAAGATTACCTCTATATTTTGAGCATTTTATTGACTTGTTCAATAGCACTTTTCTGTCATTCACCATGGCTAGAGGGGCTGGCCTTGGGGCACAAGAGGTACCCAACACAGCCCTGCTGTCCGGCTGTGGTCAGAGCTCTTGGCTGTTCCAAATTTGGGTTACTGGCAAAGAACTTGTGCAAACTGGGGCTCTTGATCCATCTCTCTGTGGAGCTTGAACTTCACATCATTAATGTGACATGGGGAGCTGAGGTTTATGCCCAGTTTGGGTTGGTGCACGGTGAGCTCTGTGTGATGTGGAGGTGTTTGTGTGGAGCAGGACCCCAGCCCGTGTGGCTCGCGTTTATTTTTGCTCCTCGCACCGGCTGTAGTTTGGTTCTAGCTCCGGCTCGGGGAACGCTTTGCTGAGCAGGCTGCAGGAGGCTCTGTCGTGCTCTTGGCAGGGTACAGACAGAGTTAACCCCTCAGTGCATCAGCGTGGCTAACAAATGGTCCCAGTCCTCCCCCGAGCCGGGCAGGGGCTGCTGGGCAGGAGCCCTGGGGCTGGCAGGGCGTCCCCAAGGAGGGAGAGGGCTGCTGGCAGCCTGGGCCGGGCTCTGCCGTCCCCCTGTCCCCCTGTCCCCGCTGTCCCCTCGCTGTGTGACAGCATCAGAGGGCGCTGCGCCATCTCCGCTCCTCCAGCGCTCCGTGTGCCGGCCCTGGAGCGGCTCCCGCGGGGCTCTGCCCTCCTCCCGCAGAGCCCCCTCCCTCCCCGCGTGTCCTGGCACGGCCTTGGCTGGGTTTTGGGGACGGTGAAGGTGCAGCAAGGCTCCAGGCTGGGATTTTCCCGCAGGTGCGGGGTGTTTGCGGTGTTTCAATCCCCCGCAGCTCCGGGCTGGCGGGGAGAGGAGCCCTGGGTCCTGCTCAGCTGCGCTGTGTCCCCGCACACCCTGAGGGAGGCACTCACCTTGTCCGAGGTGCGGGATGAGCTCGGTGGCACCTCTGGGCTCTCAGGAGCCTCTCCCGAGGGGCAGCGCTGCCCCACGGACCCGCATCCAGCGGCTCCTCCCCAGCGCAGCCCCTCCCGGCACTTCCAGCTACTGGAGGAGGTTAAGGAACTCTGCCGATCCATCCTGTTGTTAAGTGAAGGTAGCAGGGTGCCAACAATTAAAGAAGTAATTGTTCAATTGGTTCTGCAATAATACTCATTGATTCTTTGTTTGAAGTGATTCGCTTTTCAATCCTCCTGCATTTAGAGATCTTGTTTCACCTATGTCAAGGCGAGTTCAGGAAACCTAATTAACTGCGTTTTGTTTTTTATAATTAGGTCCCTAAAATAATTCATAGGTGGTGTTAATAACCCCATTTAAAAATCTATTAAGCTTTTGGAAAAGTTGGACAGAATCCTCTGTGCTGGGTTTTTTTTTTTTTTCCTTCCCTTCCCTCCTCCTTTTCCCCTTGGAGATGTGGCGCTTCTTCCTTTTACAGCGCACTAATTAAAAGCAGTAGGATTACGGTGGGAAATAATATGCATGTGAGGTTATCGTGCACAGGGCAAGAGGAGGCCGCGGTTCCCTTCCCCTGCCTGGCTCCAAGGAACACTCCCCATCTCCAGCGGGAGCTGGCAGGTTCATTGAAGGACAGATTGTCCGCAAGGACCCTTTGGCATTTGCGAGCCGCGGCCAGAAGGAGCGACAGGAAGGGATAAGGTGCGGAAAACGCCGGGCTCCCGAAAGGCAGCTCTGCTTTCAGGGGAGCCCCTCCCCGAGATCTGTCTGCAGAGAGGGCTTTGGGCACGTTTAGGAGCCCGACAGGAGCGCTCCGTGCCCAGCCGGCTGTCCTGGCACAGGCAGCCCCCGCCGCAGCCGGGAACACCCCTGGAGTCCTTTCAGCGGCAGCACGGACACACGAGCTGACCCGTTCTACCCGAGCTGCCCCGTTCTACACGAGCTGCCCCGTTCCGTTCTACCCGAGCTGACCCGTTCTACCCGAGCTGACCCGTTCTACCCGAGCTGACCCGTTCCGTTCTACCCGAGCTGCCCCGTTCTACCCGAGCTGACCCGTTCTACCCGAGCTGCTGGCTGCCCGGAGCCTCCTGCCGGGCTCTGTGAGCCTCGGCCGGGGCTGTCCCGGGGCAGGGAGGGGAAGCCGCCCCTCGGAGCCGCTCCCGAGGCTCCGCTCAGCCCTCCGGGGTGCCAAGGCTGTCTGACACGGATTTTCCAGCAAGGAAAAGCTGCCCTGTGGCTAATGCACGGACATTTGGCAGCTTTGGGCCTCAGCGCTGCCGCAGCTGGGAATGCTTTGTTCTACTCCCACTTAGGGAGGTGGTTTGACGTGTGTAAAGATAAATGCTTATCTCGGTAGGGTTATGGAATTCCCTGGAATGGTTCACCTGCAGGATGGTTCAGAAGGTTTTGCCTTGGAGAGTGATCTCCCTGTGTAGGGGGTGTATAAATTCCAAAAGGAGCCACAGCAGGAAGATCTAGCTAAACCTGACATCACCTGCAAGAGCTGCAGGATGCTCTCTGCATCCTCAGGGAAGGCTGCAAACCCTTTTTTGCCTGGCAGAGCTGAGGTGCTGGCTGGGAAGTGCAGTGTGACCTTCTCCGTGGGCTCTGAGGCATGGCGAGCGTCCTGAGCGAGCTCCAACAGCGGCATTTTCCCACCACATTTTCCTCCTGAAAGTCAAAATGTAAATTTTTTTATTACCCCTCCTGAATGTGACAAAGTCCTACTTAAAAATGTAAAGATTCCCATCTCCACATGCACCATAAAGGCCTTTGCATTGCACGTGAAGCCTCCAGACTGTTGATTTATTATTGAGCTACAATGGCTGGAGCAGAAGAGCAAAGTGAAATCTATGAAAGTGGCTGATGTGACAAAATTAACAGTTGTCAGCAGAGGAGAGGGGAAGGCAAATGTTGATACTCAGCAAACTGGGGCCTGGGGAAGCAAATGTAAATTTCCAGATGTAAAAAATCTTTACATCTTATGTAAAAAATTTTACATTTCCAGATGTAAAAATCTTCCTGCAGCAGCAGGGATGGGGCAGGAGGGATGCTGAGGGTCCCAAGCTGTGGGCAGCAGTGCTGGGGCCAGGCTGCAAAGCCAGCACAGCCTTCCTGGGGGAAGAGAAGGAAGGGGAAGGGGACAAACCCTGTGGTGTTCTGTCCTCTCTCGCTCCCATGGTGTGGGGTTATATTTTATACAATTTATATTTTATAATGGTTGCTCTGCAGGGGAATTTGGGCAGTTCCCACTGGTGTCTGTGGTAGCTTGGGTTTGGACATGGAGAATTTCAGGCTCAGACAAGGAGACAGCTCAGGAAGGGGATAAGAAACCCCTTTATTCTGGGTTATTTTTTCAGTTTGAGCCCAGCTCTGGCTCTTGATGTTCTATCTGAAGCTGTTGAAGGTGTTTTTCTGGACCAACAGGAGGGGCAGATGTCATATCTTGCAAGTGGAGCTGAGATTTTGGGGGATGAGGTTAATGATGGGGTTATTTGTTCTGAATTTCTGAATTGAGATGTTTTGCTGAGTGTGTGATGTGCAGCAGGGAAAAGTGGAGCCCTTGTCTAACAAAAGGGTGAATCTTGTGTTTGGTGGGATTGTTTATGGCAGCCCAGGGTTAAAGTGGTTTGAGATGTTTGCTTTCACATTCCAGGCTTCTTTTCACCTCCATTTGCAATTTTTGGGGGCTTTTTTATACACAAATAGTTGTGCCAGTCCAGCAGGGCCTCTCTTGGGGTATTGTGCTGGTGCTGGCAGGAATTGACCCTTCTGGTATCTGGGAATTCTTCATGTGTTTCACTTGAACAGCTCTGATTAAACAAATTACTTCCTAGAGGGATATTTTTGAAAAAAAACCCCACCTTTATTCCCCAAATATCTTGAATTTATAAAACAAAATGTGTGAAAACTTGCCTGACCAAGCTTTCATTGGGAGGTGTGTGTCGTGGTTTGGATGAAAGGCTCCCTGCAAGATTCCAAAGCAAGAAACTTCCCTGCTAAACCTGTCTGGAAAAAGGTTAACATGAGATGAATTGAATTATATTAGTGAAAATTGCATCATTAGGAGAAGCCTCTTCCTGCAAAATGCACGAATATAGCTGAATTCACAGATGCATTTTGGTCTTCTGCACCAGGAATATTTGTCATCCCAGAAAAAAAGTGGAAGAGGCTTGTTCTTCAATGCCTGGCATGTCACTACATGCTGTGAAGTGCAAATAGAGGAAGAAAAATTAACACATAAAAGAAATGTACTGTTTCTGCAGGAAAATTAGCTAGTTAAAGCTGAGGGAAGTGGCTTTTTAATAAAATAAAATAGGAAAAAAAAAAGAAACAAAACCACAGCAGAAAATAGCAGCATCTTCTTTTTGCTTGGCTGGGGAAAAAAATAAACATTTTTTATACTGCAGCTCTGAGTGCTTGGAGCTGGAGGAGATAAGTCTTTGAATGAGAGGGGAAAATAGTTCCTAGAGATCCATAAAGCTGGAACAATCCTGGGATCCCTTTGGTGTATCCAGAGCTGCAGTTCCCCACCGAGCACCGGCTGCAAGGGACTGAGAGGGAGGAGGAGCCGAGTGCTGTTGCATTGCATGCACGGATTTCTCCCTGCAAAAGCACCCCTGCAGCCTGATCCCCTCCTCCCCTGCCCTGCCCACTGGCACAGGTGGAAAGAGGGGCTCAAACTGTGGTTGAGTTGTGCAAACACACTGAGTGTAAAAGAAAATAATCTAATTATTCTGTGGTGAAGCACTAGCAAGTGCTGTAGATCCAATGTGGGTCTATTTCTCGCCTTTATTTTGTTTTTGGGAAGGATTTTGAAGTGACTTTTCGACTCACCCCTTGATACTATCAGCCCTTCTGGATTTGGCTGACTTTGGGGTGAGTTGGTGAGGTTGAGCAGGATTGGTCTCTGAAGAGGAGAAGTTTGTGTGGCTTCTGTTCCCAAAAACCTGTGAGGGAGAGGAATGGGGCTGTCTTTGTGTTTGGCCAGCCAGGGTGAGGAGCTGCCACACACTGGAGCCTTGACCTTGGTCTTTGGAAAACAAACACTGGAAAGGCAGTGTTGAAGGTGCTAAAAGAAAAATAAAAATAAATCCACACACCTTCTCCTTCTTACCACGAAAAATGGATCAGTGTCCTCTGATCTGGAGTGTTTTGGGTTGGGTTTGTGTCCTCACTGGGCCCCTGGGAATGACTGCAGGGGTGCAGTGAACGACACAAACTCTCAAGGGAGTTTCAACACGAGAATTCCTTAGTTTATTGCTTCAGGCCTGTCTTATAGACAGATACATGGAAAGTACAGAAAGGAAACTCTTATTGGTTAACAAAGTGCTACATCACCATCATTGGTCAGGGGCACTCTACCCCCCTGACCCTCTCCTGCAAGGAGAACAAGAGGACAGATAAACAGCACCTGGCAGTTGTTTTCTGTCTCTGAGGATTGTTTTGAAATCCTCCTTTGAATTCCCAGGCTAGCTTCTCAGGCAGGACTGAGAGGCCATGGGCCTGCAGTTTCTGCAGCTCTCTGCAGCCTGCTCCAAAGCTAGCATCCATAGTGCAGAGCTCTCCACCTTGTCCATGCTGCTGCTGGCAAAGGAGATGAGCAGAGCCTGGTGCTCCCCTTCCTCTCCTGCCCCCAGGAATGCACTCAGGGGGTGCTGGATGGGGCTGGGGTCCAACATGCACCAGAAATTGCCTTGAGCAGCAGGGGAGCTGAGGGGAGCACTCAGCCTGGTCCATCAGCCTCCCCCAGCCATTACTGGGAGCAGGCAAGGCCTGCAATGGCCTCACTCCTCAACACCTGGGTGCTGCTTCCCAGGAGCTCTGTGAAGTCCTGATAAAGGTGTCTCAGAAGAAGGAATGCTTCTGCCTTTATTTTCAGGATTATGTTGTATATTTACATCAGAGAGATTTTTCTGGGTGAAGCAGGAGAGGACGTGGCTATGGAACGAACAAAACGCTCAGCTCAGGGCTGAGAAAACAAATGCAGGCTCTGCTGAGTGGAGCCTGTCTGGGGTAATCCCAGCAGCTCCTGCTCGTGTTCTTACAGGAGACAGGCTTTGTTCTGAGCAGCACCTGCAGAGCTTTTCTCCCTGAAGGGTGCACCCTGGGCTGCAGCCCAGTGAGGTGTCTCCATTTCCATCCTGACACAACAGAAGCACCAGCTCATCCCGGCCTTGCTGTGCTCTCATGCCTCAAGTCTGGTCTTTGCAAGGCAAAGGGCACAAAGGGGCAAGGGAAGACTTGCTCAGACCTCCTCCAGGCAGTCGTTTTTAATTGCAAATGGTGTGATTTTGAAAGGGGGGCAGGGAGAGCCCTTGCTCCAGGCTAGAGAGCAAGAGATTGAAAGCTTGCTGCGGTGGTCATCGGAGGTGAAGAATAAGTCATAAATGATCCAAGGGCAAAGGCCAAATATAGACTGATGGCTGCTTTGTTCCTGCAGCCTTGGGAAGGACCTTGGTGCTGCACTGTGCTGGAGGGGCCCTGGGCTTAACCCTTCCCTGCTCAGCCACACGCAGAGGATTCCAGCAGTGGATCTCTGTGCTGGTGTCTGGGTGCTGGCCTTCAGCCAGGCTGCTGAATCTCCAGCTGAAAACCAAAACCTGCTGAGAATTTCTAGGGGGAATGAGGAAAATGGCAAACTCTGTCTTCCACTGCTTAAGCAAGTGTGTGGGGTTATGGTTCTGAAAATCCAATGAATATACGCTTCAAAATGTCCTGGGGGAAATAACTTTGTCCTTTTCCCAGGCAAGTTCATGTATTTACCTTGGTTTGTCCACTTAAAATGAGCACTGTGAAGTGAGTACCAAACCTCATGGTAAATTCCTCAGAAGCTCCAATTCCTGTGCTAAAGGCTTTGCTGTGCTCTGAGTGTTGGGTGGTCACAAGTCCCCAGGGTGACACTGTCTTGCCAGGATTTCCTTCTCACCTGCTGGGTCACACTCATTGTCTTATTTAACTTCTCTTCTTCCCTCTTCCTTTTGTCAGCCCCTCCTCACACCAGGGTACAACGCAGATATTCCCAAAAATCCTGTGTACAACCTTTAAAGCCCCAAGTGTGGCTTGTGTCACCTGAGCCGTGGGTGTAATGTCCCCCAGTGCCTCAGTTTATCCTTCTGCTCCATTTTATGGTTGCTAAAAGTTCTTCAGCACCTAGATTTGTGCATTCCTGCACTGAGAGTGTGTAGGGCTCAGAAGGAGCAGATTTTACAGCCTGAGAGAAAAAGGATCCAATTCCTTGCAGGTGCTAAAATTCATTTTACTGCACGTGTGAGAGTCCTCTCTGCTGGGAATTAAGTTAATTCTTATCTGCATGGGGTTTTTTTTGCTGTGGCAATTCCATTGTGGGTTATTTCATACAGATTTCAACCCATTGATTTTTTTTCCTGGACCAAAATTATCTCGGCATCGGCTTCACCCAAATTTAGTGGAGATGCACTGGGGAAAGGGAATGCTTTAGCCCATTACCTTCCAGGAGAGGCTGGATTTTCTCAGTTTAGCCAGGCAGAGCAGGGGCTGGCTTCTTGTTTAAAACAATCCTAATAAACAAAGCCCTTCCTGCGAGGGGACAGCAGTGTGAGCGCACATCTCTTTCCCTGCCCTGCCTGGCAATGCCGGGATTCTGGCGGAGCAGGAAAGCTCTGTAGGGAAAAACAAACGCACAGCTCGGGCTGTGGCGGCAGTCCTGTGCCCGACATGCATTATTCCTGCAATCAAAGGGGGAATCGGCAGCAGGAATGTTTAACTGGAGCCTGTGATCCTCAGGTGTGACACCG